TTTTGTGATTTTATATCTCATGTAAAATGCAAGAGAGGTTCTAAATACACTTCAGTTTTTTCTCTCTAAACTCTTTTTTCTTTAAATAAAATTATTTAATTATCTTTCTCATTTTAATTTTAAAACTTTTGGATATGTATTTCTAATAAGTTATATAACTTACCATAATTTCATATATGATAAATTAAAAAAAGTTATCTTTACGTTTGAGAAAAAAATCAGTTGAGAAAAAATATCCTACAAAAATTTTCAAGCTTTTGGATATATAAATACAAACACTTTTAAAAGTTTTCGAAAATGCAAATATAAAATTTTTTACGAGCTTTCAGATTTACAAATCTGAAAGTTTAAAAGTGAAAGGGGTGTGAAGTGAAATAAAAAAGGATAATTAAATTATTTTATTTAAAAAAATTTTGAAAAAAAAGAGGTGTGAAGAGTAACAAATAGGATGTGAATAAAATCTCCCAAAATATAATAGGATTCTTAAACATCATATAATCATATGTCATATGGCTACATATGCATTTCTATCATTTTCACTGGTTATGTAGAGTTTCTTTCTTTTTTTTTTTATAAATTACAATTATAATCAAGTATTGCATTCATATAATTAATTAAATAATCAACTATTACATAAATTTATATAATTAACTAAATAATCAACTATTACATCCTAATCAAATTGCAATCACTGAATAATTAACTAACAAATTAGATAATAACTAAACAATCAAATCCACACACATTGGGACTTAAACCTAAGATTTCAGGATCCTAAAACCTCTTTCTTGCCATACAACTTTTGCATTCATCTAAAACTCTTGACATACAAATTTTGCATTCATCTATAACTCTTGACAAATGAAGTTTTGGTTCAACTTGAACCTTGATATATAATATTTTTATGCGTCTAAAACTGTATCATATAGAGTTTCAATTCAAATATGACTCTAGACTTATAAAACTTGTATGCAAATAGAACTTTTAACATATAGAGTTTTTATGCAATTATGACTTTTACCGTGCATCGTATATAAATGTTATGATGTCTAAATCAAAGGTATGTTATTATGTATTTCATATAGTTAGTACTTTATTGTTAGTAGGATTTTATCATGAAAGAATTTTATTTTAACTCAAATTCTTCATATTTGAATACTTATATATATTACTATGTTTTAGTATACCATTTCAATTATGACATTTAAAATTATGTATTTTTTATCATAAATATGTCATAAGGGCCTTTTCATAATTAGCATGACATATAGATTATGGCATTTTGGTCATTTTTTACATTATTCAATTATGCTTTATTTATTTATTTATTAAGTTCTTATAGGCTATGTGAATGTTTTAATTCATGCAATTTGTATGCTTAAATTTTTTATTGTATCATATTAATAGTCGGTAAATCACACAAAATTATTAGCCTACATACATATCTTTAAATGCATGAGTAATAGCATAATATATATAAATTGTACATAAATAGTATTTTTGGTATATAAGATTACAATATGATAAGATAAGATAATATTATAAATAATATTAAATTAAATAATATCATCATATTTTGTATTTGATATATGTAAAAATTAGGATAGGATAATTTTATTTATTGATCAAAATTACCTTTATTCAAAGTTTATAAATTTAAATTTATTGATAATTTTTAAGGATATAATAAGATATGTAAGTTTAATTCTATAGATTAAAAATGATTCTCTTCATTTTGAAATGATTGAATCATTTTATATTAAGAGGATGATTAATTATACTTAGAATCCAATCCCTCCCATTAAAAGCAAACCAAACATGGAATAAAATAATTATAATTATATCTTATCTATCATATTATGCATTAAATATTATCAAAATCTATTGTAGATATCTCATTTTGTTCAAAATTTTTCGGTATCAAAATGGGCCTTTGATTATAAATTAGGTCTCAATTGAAAAATTTTAGGCAAAAAAAAACTAAAAGACCTAATTATATATGTGTTTTTTTAATTTAGTTTAGTTTAATTTTTATTTTTGTTTTTATTCTTTTTGTCAAAAGTTAATGGATCAAAGTCAAAAAATCAAATCAAAGTAAAAAAAAAAGAACAAAAAAGTGTAATTTTGTAAAACACGAAAATTTTGGATTCGATTTTGGGTCTCAGATTCAATTTCATATTTTGAATTTATTGATTAATAATATATGGAAAACTTGACCATAATTCATTAAAAAAAATCATAAGAAAGAGAATTTTAATAAATTTTTCCTAGATTCAGTATGACTTAGATTTTTCTCAAATTCAAAGAAGATGAATTCTTATATAAAGATCTTTAATCTGTAAAAACAAGGGAATAAGCATTAAGCATACACAGAAAGCAAAAAGCAATAAGCAAATTCTAGCAATTAGAGCATTTAAACTTTTTAAGTTTTGATATTAGTTATAGAATTTTGGTTTTTTTTTTAATAGTTTTGGTTCTAAAAGTTTGATTATGGGTTTTTTTTTGTAATTGTGGAAATTTATGGGGAGTTGGTTTTGATTCTGGGATTGTTTCGATATTTTGGGTTTTTTTTTTTTAATTTTAGGTTTAAGTTTATGGAGTTTGGTTTAAATTTTTGGTTTAAGTTTGAATTTTGAATTTTTTTTGATTTTGTTCAAAATTTTTGGTAAGATTTTAGTTTTTTGGTAAGGTATATAGCAACTAAAGGGAATTCACGTGGCTAGTTTCTCAGGTTTTGAGATTATTTGAATTTTTGACTAGGCTTGTGTTTTTTGATAGCTGAAATCTAAATTTTTAGTTGAAATCCAAAAAAGCTAGAGAGAAATAAGAGAGAATTTGAAGCTAGAGAGAGAAAAAATTAAAAATCTAAAAGAAAAAAACTAACTTTTTGGCTTTTATAAAAGCATCAAAATGAAGCCTTTTTAATAAGGGTAAATTCATTTTTTAACCCACCAACCTTCGTTCCGACTTGCATGATAACTCAATCTCAATGTTTCTTTCTTTCTTTTTCCTTTTATTTTAGATTTAGATTTTTATTTCATTTTCTAGTTTTTTTTTTTTTGCTTTTATTTTTTTTTGTTTTCTATTTTATTATCTTTTATTATGTTTTTATTTTTAATTATGTGATTGAATTAAAATGATGAAGAAAAAGAAATTTGATAAGATTTTATAGTTTATTTGCATGATGAATTTAGTTTTTTGCATGGTATTTATGTTTACATAAATTCGATTTAATTGTATTTTTTGCACGAATAATATATATTTTTGTATGAGTTTGATTATTTGCGTGATTACTTAATATTTTATTTATGTGATTTATTAATTGCATGATTTATTATTTGTATAATATTAATTGCATGATTATTAATATATTTGATTTATTATTTATTTGCATTATATTTTTGCATATTTATTTTTTGATTTATTATGATATTTTGGTATGATTGCTGCATGATTTGATATTTATTGCATAATATCCTGGTATGATATGATTTTTATATATTTGCATGCTATTGGTATAATTTTGCATGATTTGTATAATGTAAAATTATTTGAATTAAGACTTAGGTAAGATAATATATGATTAATCTTGTATTAATTTTGGGCATAATAGGTTGTTAATACTTTTGTTGCATATAACTAACTTCCAAATTTAATTCTGTTGATGCAGATTAGAATCTATTGTGTTAGAAACCTTTAGTTAAACTTGTGATAGCTTAAAAAAAAAAAATTCATACAGATGATCAATCACACTTAAATATAAAAAAAATTTGTGACAACTTCATATTTTTGTGTCTAATGAATATATTTTCAAATTTAAACATTATAACATTTATGATTCTTAGTAAATGGTTAGATATATTCTTTAATTTAGAAGCCGATTCGATGAAAAATATTATAAAAATGATATTAAAAGCTTTGATTCTTTTTATATTCTGTACCAAAATCTCCAAATCAAATTCTTTGATAAAAGATGATACTTATGGCCTTCAATCCTATAATAATAATAATAATAATAATATTATTATTATTATTATTATTATTATTATGTTGTTGTTGTTGTTGTTGTTGTTGTTACTGTTATTTTTATTGTTTGAAAGTAGAAAATGAATCAAAATTTTAAAACACACATCTTTTTATTTTGTCTCTAATATAAAAAAATTGTACTTGTAGTTATTCATCATTTTCTCTCTTCTACATTTTGACAATTATAATAATTTTATTTTATTCTTTAAATATTTAGTTTAATAATAAAATTTTATAATTTATTTAACTCAAATAATAATAGGTATGTATGAATTTGAAATTTTAATTCAAATGGTTAATATAATTAATTAAAATATTAAATTATTTGTAGGTTAAGAGTTCAAGTAGCTTCATTTTTTATCCCAATATAGAAAAATAGTGGGTATGCATATGACTAGTTTAAAAAAAATAAAAGATCAAATTTCTTTTCTTTTTTAAAACTTTTTGATAACATGTTTTATATAAAATTCATTATAAAAAAAATGATATTACTATAAATTAGTTCTTACCACACCCACTATCTGGGTGAAATAATAAATAATTTTACCATTGAAACAAATATTAGAAGGAAAAAATAATATATATCTAAAATATAAAAGAGAAAAAAAAGTAAAAGTAACATTAAAATTTAAAATATACAAATAGGCAAAATTATCAATTTTTAAAAAAAGTTTAAGAAGTGATTTCAAATTATATTTTCAAGAAAAATAAAAGATTAATTTATCTTTATTAGTTTATTTTTTATTACATAAAAATATTTTTTAATTAAATTTATTTGACCTAACTAATGGTCTTTAATTAATTACCGTAGCATGGTAAAAAAGTGAATCGAGTGGCTTTGGCTTCGGCTCCACTGCAATAAAAACCAATTCATAAGATAATAAAAGCTCATCGTGTGGCTTAGGCTTCGGCTCCACTCCGATAAAAACCAGTTCAAAAGATAATACTAAAATTTAATCGCGTGGCTTTGGCCTCGGCTCCCCTCCAATAAAAACCAATTCAAAAGATAATACTAAAATTTATACGCGTCGCTTCGACTTCGGCTCTACTCAAAATCCAATAAAACCCAGGTCAAAATAAAAAGCTTCCATCACCATCACCGACTTTGAGAACTGAAATTTCCCCTTCGGCTGTTTCGATTCGTTCAATCCCAAGGGCCAATACCAACTTTCCTTTTCGTATTCTCCATAATATGCTTCTCCTTTTTTTCTTTAACCTTTTCAAATTTCGCATGCAAAAGCGGCTTAGCCAAGAATCTCATAAATTTTAATTTTTTTTCCTTTTTATTTGATTATTATGTATATTTTTAGAATTTCGGTTGTTTTTAATTTGGCGGCCAATCAATGGACGTTCGCGTGAAGCAGGAGATTATGGAAACGTTAACCGCAGAAGGACGGAAACTAAACGGTGTAGTACCGGAAAAGCCTGGTCCGGTAATCGAGCTCAGCAGCAGTAGCAGCGACTCGGACTCGAGCGATGACTCAGACGATTTGGACGAGAATGATAATGCTAACAGCGCCGTTGAAGGAGGGGAAGGACCTGAAGGTAGGGCTTCGAAGAAGAGGAAGGTGAATGACGTTGGTTTTGTGCTACCGCTGGGGTTTTTGGCTCCTTTACCGCCGGATGATCGGGTTCCTCGTCCGTTGGCCTCTAATATGGCGGTTGCGGAGGTTCCTCCGACGATGGGACCGCTGGAACAGGCGGCAAGCAGGAATTTGAGTTCGGGTGTTCTTTGCAAGCAGTTTTGGAAGGCTGGAGATTATGATGGAGCTCCATCAAGTGATTGGGAATTATCTTCAGGTATTATTGTCAATTAATAATATTATATTGTAAGTTAATATATGTTGTGAAACAAAAATTAGACCTGGTAATCTAAAAAAGTGAAACGACACTAGCACAATAAGAATTAGCAGAATATGAATTCGATATGAATACGAAAAAAAGACAAGGGACACAGTTTAAAATTTTAACGAGTTATATATGGGTTTAACAAAAAAAATGTATTTTATATTTTTTTGTAGAGAATTGTGATATGCAATTATCATGTTTTGTTTGAATACACGAATTTCAATATTTTACATGACATTGGAACATGAGAATTTGTGAGTTTTGAGCAAAGTTTTAGTCAGTGAGGTCTCTGCATTTGCAATTTTGCATTGCTTGAGGAAATATGCTTTACCTATATTCCTGGCACTCTGTTTTTTTTTTCCTTGCTTATTTTTTATTATTTATTGGAAATTTAAATTATTAATTTAATCATGTGGATCGTAAACTATTAACTTTTTAAGCTCTGTTTTTTCTTAATTTATTGATGTTGTTCAATGTTGCTGCCCTGTATTTCATTTGACTTGTAGGTGGGATGGATCATGTCAGGGTTCATCCAAAATTTCTACATTCCAATGCAACGAGTCATAAATGGGCTCTTGGAGGTAGAGTTGTCTAACCTATATATGTTTCTTTTCTATGCATTTGAGCTATTATGGCTAGAAGAATAGAGTCTTTTTCTCTTGTTGAAGTTGTTCTTTTGGCTACATTTATTAATTTTACTTCTGCAGCTTTTGCGGAACTTCTGGACAACTCTTTGGACGAGGTACTTGATGCCACTTCCTTTTCAATTGTGTAAGATTTGCTTTTCTATTTCCAATTCTGCAATTTTCTTCATTTTCTGATTTCAGGTCTGTAATGGAGCTACATATGTTAATATAGACATGCTTAAAAGTAAGGACATTAGTAAAATGTTACTAATTGAAGGTATTTCACTATATTTCATATATATATTGTTTGTTATGGTTATTCTTGCTTGTGTCCATTGTGCATTATTCCCCTGTACTTACTGATGCATATTATTTTGGCTTCATAATCCTCAACTGACCTGCCATCTCTTTCTGCATTTTAATGGGTTCAACCATGAGGTAGAGAGTGAACATTATACCGAGGATGGGCTAGACAAGTGAATATATACATTCTTTGTTTTGAGTTTGCTTATTTCTACATGTGTGAAGCTGCTAGTGAAAATAGTTATTTTTGTATAACTAGTTTCTTCACCCTTTTAATGATGTTTTACTGACAATAATTATTACATTTCTCTATGGGTTTCAATGAACCAAGTTTTTCATTGTTGTGTTGATAACATGACAAGTTTTGGATGTTTATGGAATTTCATTGCAGATAATGGTGGGGGGATGGATCCTGATAGAATGCGTCGGTGCATGTCCCTTGGATATTCTGCAAAAAGCAAAGTAGCAAACACCATTGGACAATGTATTTAGTAATTTCTTCTCTTTGGACAAAAGATACTTTATATCTGCTTAGTTGTCTTCCACATAGCACTTTTATACTCGTATCCATTTTCTACAGATGGCAATGGATTCAAGACTAGTACCATGAGGCTTGGCGCAGATGTTATTGTGTTTTCTCGGTGTTGTGGAAAAGATGGAAAGTGGTTAGTGTTTCTTAATTCTTTTTTTGGGCTAGAATAATCTTTATTCAATTGTTTATGATTGAGTGTCCTGCAGTGCCAAGTAAATGTTTATTGTCGTTGGATTGCTTGGTAAAAAAGTTGTTTTTTGCAGTGTTCATGTTGCTTAAGTAAATGTGTATTGTGTTTACTTGAGAATGTTGTATGGTAGATCAAACAAAGTGGTTGGACTTTTGGTTCATCGACATTTCTTAGTCGAAGGTGCTAGTGGTTAATGTTCTGTGGATTAGGTGTGTTTAGTGGGCAAATAGGTATTGCTCTATGGATATTTTGATATTCTAGAAGGAAATACGTAATGGCTAAAGTTGAATACACATTGAAATTGCATTTCATCCTTGTTAATATACACATAGGAGTTAGTTTCAGTTGTTGTAAGATTTTCTATTCATGTTTTCCCAAATATAATATATTTATAATGTTATATATTGAAAGAAGAATGACAAATATATATATATATATATTTCAGTTTACACCTCCTCCTCAAACACTCCCTAATCCCTACCCAAAAAAAAAGGGTTAGGAAATGGCTATCTGCTGTTTTTTTTGTTTATTTACTGTGAATAGAATATCGTCTGCAAACTGGCAAAGTGTCATCTTCTTGGAAAATTGTTATTAAGTTGGTTTCTGAATCAATTGTTGAACATTTTGCTTGCTGAGACTTGGTTTGGGTAATAGTCTTCATCCCTAACAACTCCCTCTCCCTGTTGTCTGTGATGGTGCATTGTCAAACAGGTCTATTGATCGGGAATATGTTTCTAAATCTTAGAAAAGCTGATGTTGAGAAAAAATTTTCAAATCTTTGTGTGTGCATGTGTTTGCTCTCCATGTATATTTGCTATCTTTACTCTATTTTATGCTTTTGTTTTTGTTTTTTTTTTTTTTTTTGACATAGCTAAAGAAGTCTTCTGCATCCTCTTTGAGCTACCTTTTCTTCTTTTTGTTTTTGCTGCTCCTAAAAGTAATCATATTATCTGGTTTTGTTTTTAGCCCCACACAGAGCATTGGATTGCTGTCGTACACGTTTTTGACAAGCACAGGAAAGGAAGACATTGTGGTACCCATGGTAATGTCAACTAGAACTTTGTATTTCTGTGTGATTATACTGGTAGTACCATCATTTTATTTGGAATGGGGCCTGCAAACATGAAACCTAATTGCTATACATATACGTTTCAGGGACGGATCCAGGATTTTTAATCAGTGGGGGCAAATATTTTAACTCAATTTATTAAAATTTTCATTGAAAGACAAATTAAGATGAAAAATTCTAAACAAATTAACATGTATAACAATTTTTTTTATAAAATACAATTTTTTATGTCATATATCTGCATACCTAAAATTAACTACATGGTTATGGACGAATATAGCCTAAACATTATTATACCATAGATAAATCATCTTTTGACACAAGCTCCTGCAGACACAAACTTATATAAATATGTATACATATTTATTTAATAAAATTTTTTCCACCTACATATACAGATACATAAATATGTATATATATTTATTTAAGAAAATTTTACTTATAGAATTCTTAAATATAGATATAAATATGAAATATTTACTTTAATTTCTTATTCATTATAATTTGAAGAATAACAAATGCTTATTTTCTCATATACAATGAAAATAATGTATATTATTTTATATACAATGAAAACAAGAGTGAAGACTTACAAATCTATGTTAGTTAAAGATTGTTTTTTATTTTCTATTCTTATTAATTCACACTTTATATGTTATCTACATAAATGGTAAAAATTTTTTATTTGTTTTTCTTCAAAATTAATTATATATTATAATAAAATTGCTTATCACCCAAAGTATAAATATTCAATTACTATATAAACAATAAAAAGTTTTCTTTCATGATTCTCAATTTAATGGGGCAAATATGATAAAAAAAAATTTTTAATGGGGGCAAAGTTTGAAATTTCTAAACTTTGTGAGATTTTTCCATAATAAATCTAAAGCATTTTAGTATCTCAGTGGGGGCAGCTGCCCCCACAATCTTATAAGTAAATCCGTCCCTGATAGGTTTATAGCCAAGTGGATATAGGTTCAATGAAATAAAATTAGACTTATTTCTTTGATGCATCTTGTGGTTTCATCAACATGCAAGCTTGAGAGTGTTAATATTTGTCTTTGGTCTTCTTTTATTCTATCCTTTGCCCCCTAAGCATTTTATTTTCATAGGTTCTCTCAGTTATAACTTTTTTATTCAATTTGCTTATGTTCTAGACATTATTTCGTTCTTCCCTTTGCCTTAAGTGATAATTACCAATCCATTCTACTCCATACTTTTGGATTAATCTGTGATTTTCTCAATCATCCATTCTTCACTGTGGAGGATGTTAATTTATGGTGTTGATCCTATGAATGGCTTGCATAAAACTAAAAATTAAATAATCTGTGCTTAAGCCAAGAATTTTCTGCTGTTCTTTTGCCTAATTCAGGCTATGATTTGAATCATCATTTACTTCCGGATAAAAAAGGAAAAGGGATAGTTTGAGGGATCAACTTTTTATCATATTTCTGAGTTGCTTAGTTTGTTATGTGCTTATAGTTGCTAAGGTACTACGGAAACTATGCACTGGTTGTGCCCTCTAATCATTATGTGGATTGAAATGAACAGTTAGATTATGAATGGAAACAAAAAGAATGGAGCAAGATGATGCGATCTACTGTCAGTGATTGGGATAGGAATATGGAAATTATGGTACAGTGGTCTCCGTTTTCTAGTGAAGCAGACCTTCTTAATCAGGTAATTCTGGCTCTCCTTTCACAACTTTATTTCCAGTTTTGATCCAAAATGTTGCTTTTCTGAGTTAAAAATTAGTTTTGATGAGCGAAATAAAATGAGCACAATTTGATTTAGTAGAAGGATGAGTGTTGAATGGGTGCTTGGAAATTTGTTGGCTCATATCTGATCTATCTTCTCTTTGGTTTGCACTGTTATCAGTGTTTTCCCCTAGTGTTATCATCTCTTTGTCTATTGTTTATAAGTTACCAATTTGGTACTTGTCTGTTAATCTTAAATCTTCGTTATGCTCTCTGCTATTCTATTTTTTTTTTGGCCAACAGCTATTCTATTGTTTGATTGTGGTAAAAAGTTTCATTTTCCTGCTTGTAGTTCAATCTGATGAAAGATCATGGTACACGAATTATTATATATAATCTCTGGGAGGATGACCAAGGGCTATTGGAACTTGATTTTCATGCCGATCCACATGTATGTCTCAGATCCTGGATTTTTTTTACTATTAAAAATTTTAAATGTGAACAGAATAGGATGTATTTGTGATGTTAAATTTTGTGGTGAATTATTCTTGGCAGGATATCCAACTCAGAGGTGTTAACCGTGATGAGAAGAATATACAAATGGCCAAAGAGTTTCCAAACTCAAGACACTTTCTGACATATAGACATTCATTGAGGGTGACTAACATCATTTTACTGTTTTTCGTAGCAGAAATTATGATTTTTACCCATTATAATGGCTAGATGTGTTTTATGATGCCTTAGCTGTTGAGTTAGATGTTTATACAGCCATATCCAAATTTAACTTTTAACTGTTATCAATGGAAAGGAAAATGTACATTACTATGTTGAAATATAAAGTGAATGACAGGAGGGAGAAACTGAAGGAAATTAGAATGATGATTAACATAACAACTCAACTTGAACAGAGTAAGGGGTAAATTCCAAAAGGATTATTACTTCACTTGGATCAGAAGTTTAGGGCTTGTCTTGTTGTGGAAAATGTTTTTCATTTCCCATTGTCACTTTTACTCTCAATATGATCTGTCAACAATATAAAAAACTAAATTTTGGAAGCCCTTGTTTTCTACCTTTATAGGAAACTTGAGCAATTTCAAATATTTGTCTGATATTCTAGAAATTAGAAAACAGTGATTTCAAAGTTTAGGTATATATTTAATCATATATAGAGAAAAAAGCAGAGATGGAAAATTGGAAACACTTTTTAAAACTAAACCTGCCAATAGTTGTTTCTTGGTTCAAAAATGTGGAAGATATCTAAAAATTTGGATGCTTTACTTGCTTTGTACTGATGTCATGATTAGCTTGAATTAGCACTTTATTTTTTTGCTTATATTTTTTGAGTTTTAGTTTGTTTTCTATGTTCATTCTGCAGAGTTATACATCAATACTTTATTTGAGACTTCCTTATAACTTCAGAATCATTTTACGTGGGAAAGATATTGAGCACCACAACATAGTTAATGATATGATGCTCACTGAGATGATAACATATCGACCAAATCCCAGTGCAGAGGGGGCCCCTAAGGATTTGAATGTAATAAATACTAAATAGTATTATTTTAAAGTATTATTTTAATCTTCTATTTACTTCCCTATATGCTTGTCTAATGCTGGTTTCTTGCATTTTTGTCATCAGCTGGCTGCTTTGGTGACCATTGGTTTTGTGAAAGATGCCAAATATCACATTGATGTTCAGGGTTTCAATGTTTATCACAAAAACCGACTCATCAAGGTTTGCTTTATATTTGCCTTGAATACAAAATGTCACAAGGATTGCCATTACGTATTCCTTTTTCTGAAGTTTTCTCATTTCTAATTTGCAGCATGTTTGACTTGATTTCAAGAAAAAATAACTTACTAATTTTTTCTGGCAGGTTAATTTGTGATGCTTTTATTCCACTCTGCTTATATTGGAATAATTACTTGATAGGATATTGCCCTTTTTTCTTTTGTGAGTTGACTAGTTGTTTATGATACAGCCAGAGGCATATATGTTTTGCTTTCAATGTATTGAAACTTGAAGTTATTTCTTCATTGGAGATTACATTTCTCTCCTTTGTTGGCTTGTTTTTCTTTGATACAGTTTGAGGTTTGTTAGTTTTGCGTCAAAAACAGTAATTTTGCCTACTGTTCGTTTCACTTATATTTTAAATAGCGCATTTGATGAGAGCATCTTTTGCACTTGATCTAACATAGTAGTCAGATTTACCATCAATATATTTTCTTCATACAATGATATTGCCTAATGCCTTCTTTAACCCACTTCTCCAGCCTTTTTGGAGGGTTTGGAATGCTGCTGGGAGTGATGGTCGTGGGGTTATAGGTAATTTTTCAGCATTTGAGACTCCTGGTTAGTTTACTGGTTTACGTTCTAATGCACTTCATTCTTGTGACAGGTGTTTTGGAGGCCAATTTTGTTGAGCCAGCTCATGATAAGCAGGGTTTTGAGCGTACAACAGTTCTTGCAAGGCTTGAAGCACGACTAGTTCAAATGCAAAAAGCTTATTGGTTTGTTGTTCTATTCTAGTTAATACCGTTGACAACAATGTTATTTTTGCTTTTAACTGATGCTTTTAGATCCAAGGAGTTGTTTCCTTTATTAACTCATTTCTAATGTCTTTTCACTGCTTCATTTTAGGTCCACCAATTGTCATAGAATTGGCTATGCTCCACGGCGTAATATGAAAAATATAAATCAGTCTTTAGGCAGAGGTATGCCACTTGATCTCTTATTTCAGTTATTTGCTCTATTAATCTCTCACATACTTTTTGATCCTGTAGATACTTCTCCTGATCATGATCCACAACAATCTACTCGGTCAAATAAGAGTAGTTCCAGCAGCAAGAGACTCTCTTCGGACTCAGACAAGTTGTATTCACCCTCAAATTTGAAAAAAAGAGGAAAAGAATGTCAGGAGTTTCCGAAAGCAGTGGACGGTGAAGAAGGGAATGGACATGTGTTTAGCAAGGGTGTTTCTGGGAAAAAGGCACCGATAGACAGCAGAACAAAGTTCACCACAAAATCTGGAAAAAGATCAAGCTCATTTGAACCATCAACTCATTCTGCAGAGGATGTCAGTGATGATTTGTTAGAGGTTTTGCCTAACAGACAAACTAATGGCAGTGGTGCAAAGAGTGTTTCTTGTTCAAAGTCAAAGGTTATTTTTATGCTTTGCTTATCTTTAGTTCATGTTTTTGTTTTGTATCATTACTTGGTTAAAGAATGTGATGAATCTTATATTTCCCATTTGCATTTTATTTTTCACCTCATTGCATAAGTTACTTTTGCACCACTTTTAACTCCAGCCTTTTGGGGTTGGTTGATGGTGATTTTTCAAATTTCATAAAAAAAATAAAGCTGTATTGGATTCTGCTGCCCTGGAAAATGGCCTTCTTAATTAGTTCAGTGGAGCAAGTAGATGCTTGGGAAATATAATTACTTATGGGTTGTTAAATGGGTGCTTGTTTTGCTGTGCTGTTTTCAAATATTATGGCGTTTAGCCTTTAGCCCTTGGCATTGATAAGTAATTAATTGGTAAATCATAGACATAACTCATTTTTGGTTGGAACTCATTAATAAGTTGCCTCTCTCCCGCAACCCTCTTTTTTCATATATACATGCATGCAGGCATGTTGTTTTTGTGTTGTGGTTTCTTATCCACAAAATGATCTTTCTATATTGTTTTGTGTATGTATTTTTAATAATCACTTCTGTTTGACTGGCAGGAGCATCGTCTCAATGATAGTGAGCCTTCCCTTTCAGAGACCAATTTACATATTCTGGACCAGTTGAAGCTGGAAAATTCTGAATTAAAAGAAAGGTGTTTTTAGAACATATCTATTAGGCTTTATAGGTTTTGCTATGACTCGACTTTAATCTAAAAGATCCTATTCTTTTTGTAGATTAGAGAAATATGAGGGAGAGCGTCAAAGTAAATTGCTTAATGATTTGCAGCAAGAAAGAAACCGGTGTACATCATTTGAAATTGAGGTATGCTCCCTTTCTCCAACTAGCTTAGTAAATGTAAGGAATAATAGGAATATAAATGACAATACCATAGTTTGTAATGTACTTGATAGTTTGCTTATATTAATGCTGTGAGGTAGCATGTATACATGCTTTAGTAAATTGTGAGAGTTATATCTTGATGTCAATGCCTCTTCGGAATGCTGCTGATAAAACTTATTTTGGCTGATTTGCTGAGATGTTACACTGATTTTTATTTTTATTTTTTATCATTTAATTAGCTAACAGCGGCACAGAAAAAAATCGAGCAATTGAACATTGAACAAGAAAGTCTCATTAACATATTCTCCGAAGAGAGGGAAAGGAGAGACAAGGAGGAAGAGAACTTGAGAAAGAAGCTAAAGGTTATATTCTTTCCACCCACTTTCTAATGTTATTGCATTTCTTGCATGTATTTTCTCAGTTTAAGCTTTCTTCCTCTCATCCAATTTTCTTTCTAAAATTTACTCCAGAAATGCATTAATCTTTACATTTTGGATCTGTTTTCTATCTGATTGCTTTTTCGGTTTTCCCCAGATGGGGCAACTCATCAATATTGAGAATTGTTGGCATTGTAGGATGCATCTAATACCATCCAAGAATTGCTTGGCAAAGTTAAGTTGCTGGAGAAGATGAAACCTGTCAACCTCAAGCATGAACGTCGATAGCGTTCATTTTTGGTAGCGAGGCACTCTCTTTTGGTAATGTTCGGATCAATTCGGATTAACAACATTTCTTTTTATGACTCTGGCTTCGGACAGCTCCATATTCTCACTTCACTGACATGAGTAGAAATGTAGAATCATTGTACATGCTTTAGTTAGTGCTAGTGACTCGTCCTCTTGGTGGATGTGATTAATTCTTCAATTTAATTGGTGTCATTCCACATATCGGCTCAGAATTTTTGGATAGATTGCAAATTTGTTTTTTTTTATTTATTTGTTTAAAGTTCATCACTTTCGACCCTGCAGTGTATGAAGGACGCATGGTTAAAGGCGGAGGCCAACAGAGCAGCAGCAGCAGCGACAGGATGTTCGCATCTAGTGGCAGGCTCTCACTTTTTCTCTGTCCACTGGATGTTTCAATCAATGTGTTTTTTTGGTGTCCAAGCAAGCTCCAGGACATCACTCACCTTGACAGCCAAATTTTGTAGACAATTGATAAAGACCCCAAATCATGGAAAAGCATAGGAAGCCCTCTCTTTTTCTAGGGACTGCTACAAAACTCACTTTCTCCCAGCCTTTTCTTTGTCTCAACTTTCTCTTCACCTGTTCTTTCATTCCTGGTCCCCATAAAATATAATTTTGGAAATCCACTCAAATCGTATGGCCTTTCAATCATCTCTTACCCAATTTGTGTTTTGATCTCTTTCTTTCCTTTCTCGTGTATCATCAAACATCAACCCTTCATCATTGATTTTTGTCAACATGTTTGTGTCTAATTGGACCATCTCCTTACCCTTTTTTGATGATGCCATTTTATTGTCTACAAATTCATAATATTTACACCATTATTAGAAAAAAAAATTGTTTATGCCTTTGCATTATAATCTATGAACATGCATATTAAAAAAAAAAATCTTCATATGAGAATTTAGACTAAACCAAGAAATTAATAAAAACAAAAGCATCTAGATCATTTAATGGGTGAAAATGTGCCAGCATGGGTATAAAATCAACCTTATTGGGAAGTATGGACAAAGAAGTTGACATTTTTGGGGAAACATAACATCCTTTGATTTTTTTATTCCTTTAATTTCCAATTGATTGTTACCTTACCCTCAATGAAAGCCAACCGTTACCAACCAATCAGTCAAAAATGCCAAAAAGGCAAAAATGAATTTTTGTTCTTTGTTTAATTAATATATTTGAAAAAAAGCAAATTCTCTTGCTCTATCTTTATATAGAAATAATTTTTTAATATACTTTTATATGATTATTAGTTTTTTATAAATTTAATAATTTAAAATAATAATGTAATACAAATATAATAAATAAAAATAAAATATAATATGATTTAAAACTTAAATAATAATTATATATAAATTTAATAAAATTAAAAAATATATTTTTTATTTTTTATTAATATAAATTATAAGACATAATTTTTATAAAAAATTTAATATTTTACCTAATATAAATACATAAAACTTCATATTTAATTTCTTCTAAATTGCGCGTGTCATGAATCTCCTAATCCGAATAAAAGATTCTCTTCTCCTTGAAATGTAAAAAATAATAAATTCAGTGTTTGGCCGCACGTGACTTTGTCCACTGACCCCACCCCCCCGCACACAACGCTCTGATCTAATCAAACTTTTCATTATCATTTTGATTTCAACGCGCCACGTGCACTGCTAACCATGGTTAAGCCCAAAAAAAAAAAGAAAAATTTATAAATTATAATCACCCACTGTTCTCATTTTGCCTTTGCCCCCGTTCCTTTCTTCCTTCTTCCCCAGTCTCAGCTCGATTCTCGACGTTTATAGATATCAAAAACCCTAAACGCACGCGTTTCAGAGTTGATTGTACTCTGCTATTGATTCGACTGTATGTCCATGAAGAACCTCTCTTTGTTTCTTCCATTGAAAATGTGAAGAAAAATGGTTTATTGTAGTAAAAAACTGGATTTTGTTTGAAATAAATGCGATCGACTTTCTTGGGATTTTACTGATTTGTTATTTCTGTGTTTCACTATCTTCTTGTGCGACTTTTGTCTCTTCAAATATGCTTTGTAAAAGAGGAAATAATTCGAATATTATAATGAATTTTGCCTCTCTCTGTCTGCTTCTCCTCTGCGTCGCTGTTGCATTGTTTGTGTACTATGCTCTCTGCTTTGTCGACTGCTCAGCAAATTCGACAACTTTTTTTATTTCATTTTTTTAGCTAATTTTTTTTCACTTGGGACTTTTTCTTTTGTTGTTTTGGATTTCTCTTCTCCTTTTGAATGCAAACACTTCTTTTGCTCTTCTCAAGAACTGCTACTTTGATCACCAAAATAACACTTCGTTTCTTGAGAGACAGGAAAACAAGAAGAAACCCAGAAAAGAAAAAGTTGAAATGAATATGGTTTTTTGAAAACTCTTTGTTTAGAGAGGTCTGGTACGAATCGCCGTAGTTTTGGGGTTACTGTTTGGAGCCTAAAGTTTAGCTCGTGAAACCTAGTTGGTGTTTGTAGACTTTCTTTTTGGTTAAAGTCAAATCTGAACCGCCTATTTCTGATCTGACGGTTGTTTATTCATCTTCTTTTTTCGTTTTTCAATTGTTTTTTTTTATTTTATTTTGATGGATGGGATGTGATGTTCTTATATAAAGTCTTCCAGGTTTGTTTTTTAATGCAGATTTTCCAGTATCTGAAACACCCAACAAAATACACTCTTCGCTGCTGTGCAGGCTTTTTCCATGGCGTTTTGAGCTTTGCAGCTACTCGTTGATCTTTTGACTCGCTTTTCCGAGAGAGAAAAGCAGAAGAGAATCTGAATAGGGTTTCTCTTTTGTTGTTTTTTTGAGTGTCATTTTGCTTTCACCGATGAATCGACGACTCCTTTTGTTACTATCCTCGTTTTCCTTCGCCGCATTATTCCTCTTCCTTGTCGGGTTTTTCTCAGGTGCGTGATTTACATGCATAGATACTCTTTTTATTTTGCTTTATTAGTTTAATATTTTGTTCCCTTTATGAAAGTGGATGAATACTCTCTTTTACAAACATGGTGGGTTCTCCATGTTTCCTTTTATATTCCTTGTTATCTTCCTCTTTGTCTCTTTCTGTTCATTATTATAGTATATAAAAAAGGGCTTTTTTCAACTAAATTCCTTTCATTTTATAATCATTTTTTATTTGTTTTTGGATTTTTTGTTGCAGGTCAGGGTAAAAACATCAGTGGTTCATTGGGGTTGAAGCTGTTGGCGTTTAGGATCAAGCATTGGAACAACACACTTCCCACTCCACACCGCAAGCTTCTTCGTGGTAAGTGAAAAACTATGGCTGTCGTCTTGCCCTTGACGATACAGTTACTGTTGATAGTATTGGGATCTTAATATCCATCGAAGTTTTTATCAGCCTCTTCGGCCCTCTTTGTTATTGAAAGCCTAATGCTTTTAGCCCACCGTGATCGGTGCTGTACTGTGCCTAGTGGGCAATGTAGCACCTTTTTATGCTGGTCTGTCATTTTAAATATCTTTAATTTGGAGAAAAGTGCTTTTAGAGTTAGATGGAAAGCTTTAAACTTTAAAGCAATTTGCATTGTTTCCCCCCCCTGATACCAATCTTTTATGGGTTAATGTTGTCTGTTTCTATATCCCTACAATTCCTGTGAATCACCCTCTAAAAAGTGTATTTTGTCTGTAGACGTTTAACTTTACGGTTAGGTAGGTGGGTTTTTCACATAACTTTTGTTTTTTTTATTGGGATTGCTATAAAGAATAGTGGACCAGTTTTGATAGGTTAGCCTTTCACTATCTGAATTTTAATATAAAAGCCTGTTTGCTTTTGTCTTTTTTGGTGCTTTTGTACCCAGGAACAGCAATGGAGGAACCCAACCGAAGCTGGGGAGAGAAGTGTACCAAGGCTGATATTGTTATCAACCAGGGACCCACAGCCCCACTCCCAAGTGGCATACCAACCTACACTGTTGAGATCCTGAATGTGTGTGTCACTGGCTGTGACATCTCTGGAATTCACCTAAACTGTGGCTGGTTTAGCTCTGCTCGCCTCATCAACCCCAAAATTTTCAAGCGCCTTCGCTACAATGACTGCCTTGTCAACGACGGCAAGCCCTTAGTCATTGGTGGGACACTCTCATTTCAGTATGCCAATACCTTCCCTTACCCTCTTTCTGTCTCCCGTGTGGTCTGTTCTTAGTAAACATCAAATACCTTGCTACAAACATTGAACAGCTAGCAGTGTTGATATAAAGCCACTCAAAGCAAGGACTGGTTACTGGTTAGTTTACAACACTTGATGCCATCATACCTAGATACCCTTGTGATCCTTTTGGTTTTGCAGATTCTGCTTTAGCTTTATATCATTACTGGTTTGAGTGCTTTCGGGAGATTGATATATACTGTAAAGTGTTTGTATTGTGAATTTTGCTTGACGGCATTGCGGAGATAGGGATGAAACTTGAATGATCACTGAGCTGAACCGGTTTTGTCGGATGAAGATCGAGCATGAATTTTGGTTGTGGCTTTTGTAAATAGGAATGTGGTATATGGATTGTAAGCATGAGGAACCCCTATATTGAGGCAATATGCGAGAAATGAAACTGTGATTAGAGGATGTTTTGTATCAAAATGTGTGTTGTTTTGATCATGACATTGAAAAGGGAATGAATGAATGAGATGATGCTTCTTATACTGCTTGCTTTGTTAGTTCTTTATTGTTTTTGATATTTGAGAATGGCCATCTTTGCCAACTTTGCTGGTTATGGCGTCAGTTTCTTTGATCCTACTCTCTCTCTCTCTCTCTCTCTCTCTAACGATTGTTAGGGACACTGAGACGGCAAAAATCGTCTTTAGCCATTCATGCAACTGGTCAATTTTTTTGACGTTGCCTGTGGTTGTCCTTTTATGCGCAAACAAAATAAGGCAAGATTGCTACAGCTGGAATTACTGGTTGATGGTGCGTTTCTCATGCAATGGTTGATATTGTCCATGGTTATTAGGGTAGATAATTGGATTTGATTTGATTTTTTTTATAAAAAATAGAATTATGAATTTTTAAAATTTCATTCCAATCTGAATAGTATTTTCATATAATTTAATCTGAATTGAATTTTATTTTGACTTTTTAAATTTAAATTTTTTTATTTTTTTATACATTATTTTTAATATAATTAAATAAATTTAGGTATAAAATAATTATTTTTATTTAATAAAAATTTAAAATACATATAAAAGTTAATAAAAATTATAATTTGTTTTGGTTTATTTTTTTTTATTTTTTGTTTTTCAATTTAAAATTTGATTCGAATTTAATATATATATATATATATATATTTAAGATTCTAAATTAATCCAAATTAAATATAAAAAGAATGATTCTAATTAAATTGAGCATTATGATTTTAAATCCATTTTTTGTTTTTTTCCCTCATCCCTGAAAGTCATCATAGGATGCAGCCATTGAACTTATTTACCAACTATTGAAGATTACATTGATCAAAACCCTTCATTTTTTGAGTTTTTTTTTTTTTTTTTAATTTTTAGTAGAGTTTTTAGACTGTAAGTAAAACCATAATAATATTATTTATTATTTATTTCATAAGAAAAATCCATTTTTTACTTCAATTTTTTTCTCACTCACTACTAGTTAGTATCACAAATTCTAATATATATAGTATAATATCACTAATGTCTGTTGATCTGAGTGATAAGAAATTAAATTTTTTTAAATAAAATTTTAGTTTTAAATATTATAAATGAAAAAAACAAGTTTGAGAGAGCTTACCTCCCTTATAGGATTCGACACAACTTGATTCTAGATTAATTGAGGATTCGACTCAACTTGATCCTAGATTAATTAAGGTCAAAGTGACTATAAGATATCAAGGGATCCCAGACAAAAAAAAAAAAGCCACACAAGAGAAAGGGCCTAGTGGGCCTCTGAGCCATTGCTGAGCTTGTTGGACAGAAATGCCCATGTTTAAGCCTGATTTCAGACATTAAAATTTGACTATCCGTCTTTGGGCACACCCATCCACACACGCAGCCCTATATAAACTCAAAAGTCCAATCTTTCATGCAGCTTTACCATTTCAGCAGCTTCTTGTTCTTCTTGAGACTGACATGAAGATCACAGAGCGATAAAAGAGCAACAGAGAGAGACAAAGCAAGAAAGAGAACAAAGATGGAGGCTTCAATCAGCGGAGTTGGAGTTGGACGTGGGTTAGGCCTACTACCTTGTTCTACTAAGCTTCCTAAAGCACTTCCTTTTTCACGATCCTCTGGTTTCCGTGTCAAAATGACTGCCTCTGTTGAAGATAAGAAGAAGAATTATACCCTTCAAAAATCTGAAGAAGCTTTCAATGTTGCCAAGGTAATTATCAACTCTTCCCCTGCTTGCCCTTTTCTTCTTCATGATCTTCCTAGTGGATAGCTTGGATCTTGCCATGTTAAGTTAATTTTTCTTAAATTCAAGTCATTTGATTGATTGGCCGACCTGGGTTTGTTCATTTTACTTCTATATAAAATTAATATGTAAAGTGCATAATTAATATTATTTTTGGGTTTGTTCATATCTTTTTCGGGTCACTGCTTTTTTGAAATCTTGGTCCTCTGACTTCTATAGGAACCTTTTTTTTTTGGGTAGAATTTGATGCCTGGAGGTGTAAATTCTCCTGTCCGTGCCTTTCAATCTGTTGGTGGACAACCAATTGTGTTTGATTCTGTTAAGGGTTCTCATATGTGGGACATAGATGGGAATGAGTATATTGACTACGTTGGCTCCTGGGGCCCTGCAATAATTGGTCATGCAGATGATGAGGTTTGATGTTTTCTTCCTTTAGTCTAAATTTGCCTTGTAACATATTTATATCTCGTTTGCATTTTACTGTTTTAATGTGAGCTAGCATCTTACATAGTTCCTTCTCTTTCATTCTTGTTTATGATTTTCAATGAAAACTGCAATAAGTTCAATGTTCATGAATTTCTTCATGCTATTGTTGTTTGGTAATGATATTGATAGTTGATACCATATATGCATTTGTAATATTGAAAGGTGGTATTCAGCAAGTCTGAAATTTAAATTCTAATAGTTGCAACCATCCCTTGGCTGCGGCCTCATATGTATCAAAAAACTTTTTTGAATTTCTTTTAGTTATATGGGAGGCATCATCATCTCAACTACGAGTTAATGGGTCAGTAATGGAAAGAAGAGGGTTATAATTGCTAAAATTTGCTTTTAATGTACTAATAATTCTTCATGGATTTTGCATATATCTGCAGGTGCTTGCAGCCCTGGCTGAAACAATGAAGAAAGGAACCAGCTTTGGCGCTCCTTGTTTTCTTGAGAATGTTTTGGCTGAGATGGTAATCTCTGCTGTTCCTAGCATTGAAATGGTTCGTTTCGTAAACTCTGGTACAGAAGCATGCATGGGAGTGCTACGCCTTGCCCGAGCCTTTACTGGCCGAGAAAAGATAATCAAATTTGAGGGTTGTTACCATGGCCATGCTGATCCATTTCTTGTCAAGGCAGGTAGTGGAGTTGCTACCCTAGGGCTGCCCGACTCTCCTGGTGTTCCTAAAGCAGCTACTTTTGAAACTCTAACTGCCCCTTTCAATGACATATCAACTGTGGAAAATCTCTTTAGAAGTAAAAAAGGAGAACTTGCTGCGATTATTCTTGAACCTGTTGTTGGAAACTCTGGCTTCATTCCGCCTAAACCTGACTTCCTTGAAGCCATACGTTGCCTAACCAAGGAAAGTGGTGCTCTCCTCATCTTTGATGAAGTGATGACCGGATTTCGCTTGTCTTATGGCGGGGCTCAGGAGTATTTTGGCGTAACTCCAGATTTAACAACCCTAGGGAAGATAATTGGTGGTGGTCTGCCTGTTGGTGCATATGGAGGAAGAAGGGAGATTATGGAGATGGTGGCACCAGCGGGGCCAATGTACCAAGCTGGAACCTTGAGTGGGAACCCATTAGCAATGACAGCTGGGATACAGACCCTTAAGCGGTTGAAGGAGCCAGGTACTTATGAATACTTGGATAAGATCACGAGAGAACTTGTTCAAGGCATTCTAGATACTGGAAAGAAGACAGGACATGCAATTTGTGGAGGGTATATTAGGGGGATGTTTGGATTTTTCTTCACGGAAGGGCCTGTTCACAACTTCGATGATGCAAAGAAAAGTGATGCAGCAAAATTTGCCAGGTTTTACAGGGGAATGCTGGAGGAAGGTGTATACTTTGCACCTTCTCGGTTTGAAGCTGGATTTACTAGCTTGGCACATTCTTCTGAAGACATCCAAAAGACAATTGCAGCAGCTGAGAAAGTTCTTAGCAAGATTTAAGGAGTCTATAGCAGTATCTTTGATTGTTGTGATCCTGTTCTTTGTCCTGCCCTTTTTTGTTCTCTTTTTCTTCTTGCATGATTGACCATTTTGCCACCGAATTAAAACTTTGAATCTTGCTTAGATGTACTTTTCAAATTACAATGCATGAAATGTTAAAATCTTTTGGCACCTAGCAATCTAAAATACGACAAAAAAATTCGAATGTGACGGGTTTAAAATTTTAACAACATCCACATATAGGTTTAACTAAGTAGCAAAAATGTATCGTGTTTTTTTGTCAATATAAATTGTGAAACGTAATTTTTATGTAAAACATGACATAGATATACGAATTGTACATGTTTTACACGACAAAAATATATGAACTCCCATGTGTCCAACAGACATTTCATTATTAGTAAACAGATGGCATTTATACAAAGGCATTTCTCCTTGCAATTTGGTGTACATTTGGTTTCGTAGTCTTATACAACTTTACAAATGATTCAAGCTAGTATTTGGAAAGAACCAAAGAAGAGACTAAAGGAACAAAAGAAAAGAAAAATGCACATCATCATCACTCCATTAAGAACTTGTAAACATGAACTTTTCAACGTTTACGTACCTACACATTGTTACCATCATAAACAATTTTCCAACTCTACATGTTTGCCTTCATAAAATGGAACACGAGCATACAATCTTTCTGGGTGAATCATCAATCTTCTTTTCTGTTCAGACAGAAAACCAAGCATGAGTGGACGAGTCAATATTTGAAATTTTAAGAAATTACAGAAGTACCACCTCAATGGCTACCACTTTGATAACGTTTTAGTTAATACTATAAGAAAAGGTATACTATTGTAATTTTACAGAGCAACCGGTTTACAGATTATTGACCTCAAAGACAAAATACAATCCCATGGCTAATAGCTTCTTGAGTTTAATGGAGCATATTATTTTGTGAAGAAATGTAGAAAGATGCAAAAATGGCTAGGAGGATCTCTTTAGTAATGAATAAAGGTAAGTGAAAAGAAGGCCTCTGGTAGGTTCAACATAACTTGAGCAGTTTGATTGTCAATCATCAATGATGAAATTTAAACAACAGTCAACGGTTCTCAGTTCCACATTTTTCTCCCAAAATGCACATACACAATGGATTAGTTTAAAATCTTTAAGTAAATAGAGAAAATTCTCCACCTGAAAATTGGATACGTAACATATCTGTAAAAAAGACTATCAATTGTCCACCTAATACATGGTAACAGTCAAAAGCAATTTGAAGTTTCAGCTTTTAGCTATCGCTATGAGTGCAAATGCAGATCCATGTTAAACAGCCAGACATCCTAATGTCCACTTTGGTGGGCAAGCTAAGCAGCTTAAACGCAAATAAGAGCGAGGGATCTTGAAATCGGAAGAAAATAGTTCTACATGAAGATGAAGATATAGAATACCTGATGTAGTTTTTGCAGGAGAAGGCTGTACTACAACATGCATTATGATAACCCCACCTGCAACTTCACCAAAGGGTTCTTTACACTGACCAACAGTCTTGCTGTTTTCCAAAATTTTACCAGAGCTTATCAGTTTGACTTCATTCACTGCCTTTGGAATAATTGTCTTACCTAAGTAAGGGCAGAAACAACATTTAAGAAAATTAAAACAAAATGCTTCAAACTATTAGCCTTTTTGCTTCCTTCTATGATACAAAAATTCTGAAGATTGTTGATAGAAAGTAAGGCAACAAGACAGCAAAAGTTGATGCATTCTTTGAGCGAATTTGTCGATATTCGGAATAAAATTCATTCTTTCTGCAACCCCTTTAAGCAATGGAACATTCCCACAACAATTTAAGGATTCACAACAAATAACATGTATTTACAGTTTATATAGCCAAATTTAGCCTTCTCTCCAAACATACATTCATAACAACATATTGCAATTCTTATCAATCATTTTCACATTATGCACCAAATGCATCAACAATATAGAAAGAATTTAGAACCCAAGTTCCTAAAATTATCTAACATAAAACTCTGTTATTACCTTGTGCTATGAAACAATCCTTTCTTATTGCATCCCATGACTAACCCTATATTGGTTTCTTCATTTTTCTTCAGAATAATTAGGTTCATACTCCAAAATTGGATTACTGTTCAGCAAACATTTGCTTGTGTCGAGTTGTCCGAGGAGGATAAAATCCTAAAATCATAGGAGAGAGAAAGAGAGCGGTTAAGAAATAAATGCTGAGACCACGTACAACCTTTGTTCTTAACCGCTCTAATTCCTCTGAGATTTCAGGATTTTACCTTTCTCGGACTGCTCGGCACAAACAACATTTCTTCCTAATTGAACTGAAATTCGCCCATAAATCTTTAAAACTTCATAAGCAATTAGAGAAGAAATGAAACAAATAAAAGAAGATTGGCTGATGATAAACCTTTGGGCCAATCAGAGACAATTCTTTGCTTAAGCATATCCACCGTGGATGTAGCCGAGTACCGAAATGGCCCGATATCCGACCCGTCATAAAGCCTGAACTTTATATCCACCAAATCCTCCTCCGGCATTTCCGCTCACTTCTCGTCCTTCTTACCCTAGGGTTCGGCACATCCAATCAAATCCCGCCGCCTAAATTTCCACAAATTAAAACCAAACTGAAAAATTCAACCAAAGTTAAAATTTTTAAAGACGACACAAAAACAGAAGAGGATCAAAATTCAAACCTGAAATTTGGGTAGTTGTTGATTAATTTGAAGCTCCCTCTTGAAGTTTTTTTTTTTTTTAATTTTATTTTAATGGGTCTTTCTGAAAGATTGGTGTTTGGTGAACTGAAGAAGACAAATAAGTCTTGCCATCTTCCAAAAGCCCTAACGGCACCACCAAAACGCTGTCGTTTGGTTGAGATTCGTTGCGAAAGCGGTAGAAACGTCGTTGTCTATACTATTATACTACGCCGTCGTTTTAGAGTCGAATCCCCTTTCCCTCTCGTTTTGTCTACTTCTACAGCGTAGATAATTCCTTTCAATCAGATCAACAAAAAAAAAAAAAAATCAAAAGCTCCATTTTTTGGCGGGAATTTTACGGCGAAGGCCGTACTATTTCGAGTTCGTCTCTCACGTTAGTTTCTTTCTCTTTATCTGTCTGTTATTTGTTCTGATTTCAGTTTTTAACGAATCTTTTAAACCGCATATAAACCCTAACTCTGCTTATTTCATCAAAAGGTACGATTTTTCATGATTGATTTTGCGCAGGCTAATAAGCGACGAGTGGGTAAAACGATCGTGGATTTGTTCGCTCAAGAGTTCAGAGACCGACCTGAAGATTACTATGTAATTTTCGTTACTCTTTTAAAAAATTTCTCTTTGATCTTAAATCTTCCAGTTACTACTCTTTGATGATATCATAGCCTCAATTTTGTTGGTTAATTTGTATTAATTCATGTGTACTTGATTGAAATGTGTTACAAGTTTCAAGCAAAGGTCCTTTGTAGAATTTTCTTGCTGTTGCTTCCTGTACCTATAACGAAGGTCTGGTCGCGTTTTCATTCACGTTGGATGCATCGGAATTACGAATATAACAAATAAAATAATAATAATTTATCTCATTACAGTTGTGGATTTTTTAAAAAATTTTCACAATGAAGCAAAAAATAATTTAATATAATAATATTTATTTATGATATTTAAAGTAATTTTTTTTTACATATTTTAATTGTAATTCAAAATTAATATGTTATAAAATTCATAGATATATTAAAAAAAATACAAATAACACTTTTAATTAAAAAAATACACGTGAATGCTGATCTCGTGGAATTTCATTAAATCTTTAAAAGAAAATGTTTTTTTTTTTTGGAACAATATTGCCGAGGAAGAACAGTTCTTTTTGGTTCATACATACACTGATTGGAAAATGTTTATATAAAGTTTTCAAATTTATTTTTTCTTCTTTATGGTTTTTGTTTGCTCTGTTTGAATAAAGTTTTTTTTTTTTTTAAATTTTTTCATGCTTCATGATTTCATTTTGAAGTTATAAAACTTGTAATTGATGCCGCAAAGGTTGTAGGCATGAACCACCAGTCATGGCTTGGGAGGTTGAAATTCTTTGAAATGAATCCGATGTACTGACAGTCTGCAAACCAGCATATGTTCCTGTAAGTCTTTGGGGAAGTATAGTTCTTTTCACTAGCGAGTAAAAGTCGATTTGAATCGAGTAGATTTATTAAAATCGAATGAATTTTATTGATTCGATTTGATTTATTTGATTTTGATTATAGTTATTTTTTTATTGATTAAATTAATTAATTTGGTCAATTTTTTATTTTTAAAATTAATAATTGAACCGATCAAATTAACTAATTTTTTAATAAATAAGAATAAAAAATTGATATGAGTATTTTTATTTTATTTGTTCAGTAAAATATTATTGAAATTATTAAAATTTTTAATTATTTAGTTTGAATGATATTTAAAGTTGAATTTTATTAAATTAAATTTATGATCAAATAATTGTTATTAATAAAAGGAAAATAAAATAAAAAGTTTGGTTATTTAATCGAATTGAACCGATTTTAATCAATTATGTTATGATCAATAATTAAAAAAATTTTAATCGATTTAATTATTTATTGAATAAAAATTAGATTGAATCGATTAATTGCTCCACCCTAATCTAAATGGCTGTTGGGGAGTCTTAACAATGTGCTTATCTATTGAATGAGGAGAGTAGGAACGTTTCTTTCTTCTTACCATCTGATGTCAGTGACTCTGTGTAACTGTACCTCTGTACTTTCTGCATGCTAATTTAACCTGTTTGCAGTTTTTTGTTTGGTGAAATTATGAAAGCAGGGTTTTCTGCTTTTTTCTGATGATATCATGTCAGCCATTCATCGACTAGATTTTCTGGTCTCAGGATTGCCATCTCTAATGGTGATAGTACCTTGAAGGGAATGGCTGCTTGTGCAAAGTTTTCTAGGATTAGTAACAATGGGACTCATAGCATTGTCTTGTATGAACCAAGGCAATTACTGGGCGCACTCATCAATTAAGATAACGCACGGCGAATATAAAGTAATTTTTTCAACACCATTAAAGGATAGGTACGTAGTTGTTTTAGCTGACAGGGTTTGCTTTTGATATCTCTTTGTAAACAATTTTGGGTCCCTTCTGAAATTATGTTGCATGCAATTATTTTCTGTTTTATAATTTTGGCATTCTCAATTAGCTTTTAAAGTTTAAACTTTTTTCTATGGCTTTGTTTCTTGGAAAGGTTCTTGCATTTGGTTTCTGACAATCTCGAAATTGCTTGCATTTGTCAATGAACTCGTTTTGCGTTTATGTGTTCCTATGGACAAGTAATACATATACTTCCCTATGATTAAGTTTTTATTATTTAGTAACTATACTAGATTCCTTTATATTTTTCTAACTCGATAGTTTTGAATACGTCATTTCCAGTAACTGCATATTTTTCTGACACTAAATTTTGTCGGACATTGATAAGTGTGCAGTGTCCGAGCCATCCAATATTCAATGGCATGCTTTACCATTTAGACAATGTTATTGATCGCCTTAGGGACTATTTTTATAAATATAATAATTTATATTATTATATCGTGTAAATATTATATTTATATGATGTTTTATATAAAAATTATATATTATAATTTATGTTAATATAAAAACGTAAAATATAATATTTTTGTTTTATTAAATTTATTTATAATTTTTTTAAAAATTTTAAATTATATTATTATCGTATCTTTTATTAATATTATTTTTATATCATATTTTAAATTGTCATATCTATTTATGATAGAACTGCTGCTCTTCCTGGCATTGATCCTATGTGTGCACACTGTCCTAATTTAGCTCCAAACAGGTAAGACATTTTTTTTTTCTTATGATTATATATGTTCAATGTAATTGAAATATCTTCTATTCCGTTCTCTCATGTCCTCTTCTCTCGTTACGACTACATATATGCTTGTCAATAAGCCGTTAGTTGTAATTTTATAATGTTTTGTCATCTTCTATTCTGACATTTTCTGCTTGATGCTTGTCAAGAATCTGTTATATGGCCTGGAACCGTATCAAATATTGTTCACCAGAGCGCCTCTTATTCGTTTTGTACCATCACTGTCAAGATATCCAACTACCATAAGTAGAAAATTCAGCATTGATAATTATTTATTCTGACAATTACTTGATACTTGATAACTGTACATTACATTGTCAATAAAATTTTTTGTTTTATAGGAAATAAGAGACTCGATTAATTAATGTTTTCGTTTCTTTTTCTATTTGTCACTTGTTTTTGGTATATTTTAATTTTTTGCTTTTCGTTAAAAACCAAAAAATATCAATCAAACAAAACCTAAGTTACATGTTTTTATGAAGTACTGAATTGAAATCATTAACAAGATACTATGCTGGTGCCTTTAAACCATTAATAAGAGTAGAAAGCCAGAAATTGAACCCAAGCTTCAGATAACCATTTGTCATTCCTAACGCTAGTGCTTGTTTCTTGCAAAATGAGATTTGTACTGTAAACAGCAATAACAATTAAATTTACTAGCTATTCATGATTTATTTAATTCCGGGTTTATGTATTAATTGAATTTGAAAGGTGTATCTAAAAATTTGCTTTCATTTGTTTTGTTTTGATGCCTTCTGATCACTTCCCACTACCAAATGAAAATTCTTCATGCAAGGTCTCCTTACTAATTCAATCTATTTAGAAACAGGGTAAGTTACACATTTGAAGAAAAACGTCGGATAAAATTCCGTAGCATTTTATTGCAAGTTTTTTTCAGCTAGTTATAAACAGAAGAAAGAAGCAAAGCAAGATGTCACTTGGATTTGCTCGTGGGCTCGGCGGTCTGATTAAACTTAAAAATTCGTTCCAAAATTTGAAGAATTTAAACATAAATATTAAGTATGCTAAATAAGTCTGAACAAATAAATGAGGTCTGATAAAAAAATAAGATCAGACTTAGGTATCATCATTTAAAGTCCGAGTTCGATCCAATTCAATTCAAAAATTAATAAGACAAAACTCATTTGTTTTATTTTTTATAATTAATAAGACTCGTTTGTTTTATTACTTGTGATATGATAAAACTTAATTTTTATATAAAATAATAATTAAATTTTAAATTGTATTGGACCCAAGCCCAAATAAATTATAAATTCAATTAAAATTAATTAAATTAATAATTAAAAAAAATAAAACAAAACTTTTTTCTCTAATATTAAATACCTATGCTTTGGACAAATTTAAGTTTTATTATTATATATAAGAATAGACAAAAAATTAAGCTCGAAAATTCAGATAAGATCGAGCCTAAACTTGCTCAAACGGCTGGAATATTATGTCAAACTTGGCATGAGCCTGACCCAGCCCATGAGTTTGTCTAAATTGTCACCTATCCTTGACTCATTTTTTGGTCCATTATCTGTAGATTTTGTATATTCTTGGTGGGTGTCACAAGTAGGAGAAAAGGAAGATGGTGGATTAATTTGGTGAATGTGTTTCTTTCACTCAAATCTTTCTTTATTAGGCTGCTACTTGTCATTAAATTGTAATTTAGAGGGTTCTTTGTTACAATTGAAGAGGTTAGTGCATGGCTTGTGGTGTCAACTTTGATCCCACCTTGAGGGCAAGGTGGTTTGCCTTAAACTATCATTCTTGTTTAAATTGGAATCAATGTTAATAAAAGCCAATGAGTTAGGAAATTAGGCTGTGTTTTACCAAGCACCAGCTCTTGTAGAAACATTTATGATGAAGTAGCTAAAGTATAGTT